GAAATTCCGGATCTTGTTCCGATTTTACACCGTCGGAATGAAGTCCTCGAATCAGGTGATGGCCAGAAACAATATCGATGGTTACAGTAAAAAATCGCGCATCTCCATCGCGGTGTTTCGAAATCCCCGAACCCATTCTGCCATGCTAAGGGAGAACGCCGTATGAACATTCGAGAGTTGCCAAATTTCCTTCGATAAGATGCTAATTTTTAAGGAATGTTATGAATATTTTTCTTTGACATTTTCCGGAGCTTCAGGTGAAATTGGAAACAAAATGATCTGAAAAATTGGGAGAAAAATATTCATAAGTTTACCAGGGGATTCGAGTTTTATCAAAGGAAATTTGGCAACGCCTGAAGGTTCATACGTCGTTTTTCCTTAGCGTGGCAGTATTATATTTTTGGGAGGTAGCTTGGATTATGCAGAGTACCGACGGTGAAATTGTAGAACAGCGTATCTCGGTCACGGTATTTCGGAATCTCCGCTCATATATTATTTTTTAGGAGGAGACTCAACCAACATCTCAGCTTGAAGTTTTCACAGAATATTCTTTCTGAAGAGATGGAAATTCTCTAAAATGTTTAAAAAAATAATACTTTCAGCAGTTTGCCAATAAATTATGATAGGAAGTCTGCAGCGCCGCATACCGAGATACGCGCTTCTGCAGTTCCACCATCGATACGGAACGTCACCACGCAAACGGGTGGCGATGTTGACGAAAACGATCGAATGCAACTATTCGTGCTCTAGGGATGTCCATGTCGCATATACGGTAAACTGAAGGCGCTCTGAAAGTCTTAATTCAGCAACTATTTCTGCTTGAGTTATTACTGCATGAACGAAAAATGAAAGGCGCGTCGGCTACGTTTTACAGCACATAATCAACAATATTTTTAAATGTGAAAAAGATATTCAACGAATATGATTATAAATTTACGGATTATATTATAAGACGTTTTAAAACTACTTGATTATCACTAGAACTTATCTGCCGTGCAACGCAAAAGCGGCGTAAATGCTTTTTTAAATTTCTTGGAAACCATGTATCATAGCAGAAAAACTTATGTGTACCTTCGGGACAATTTTTAATGCAGAACTCTTTCGCAAATACTATCAAGAACTTATCCTGAAAATTTGAGTTGCATGGTAAAAATGTTTTTATTTTAGAAAGTGTTAAGTTTCAAAAAACGCGAGAAAATTTTGATGGATTTACGACGTTCTTACTTAGCACGGCAGTTATCCTCTTACACGTTTCAAAGTCGTCTTGGAAACGTTATAGTTTTCCCCCGTTCTAAGAAAACATTTCACAATAATTGTATCGCTTGCAACGATACTTCGCAAAAAAATATTTTAAGCGTATCATGCTCCAAGGGTGGGCCCGCCTGTTTCCGCGTGATATTTCGACGACGAAACGTTCTCACGGTGCTAAAACTCTCCTCCGCCCGGTCGTCCGTTAGAATCCGAAACCGAATTGAAAAAAAATCTCCCAACTACAAGTTTTCTTCATTAAACGTTTAAAATTACTGGAAGCCAGAAGACACGGCGAACGTGCCCATACGCAAACCGGGACGTCCCAACACCAGGGTCACACCGGGAGGACCCGTCCGCGGCGTGGCGTGCTTCGCGATATATCGATTGATCTGCCATTCAAACCTATGTTAAAGGATCGCTACCTCAATAATCGATTTTTCACCATAGCTTCAAATGGGGGAATATCGATAATTGAATCACGCCTCGCCACCGAGACCCGTCTAACAGGATAGCGCGCGTTAATTTCAATGACACAGTCTCCCTGGTCATCTCACCTCACGTCCCCAATACCGTTGGACGATCCCCGCTAGAATTCGGTCTCCTCGCATTGCACTTGTCCCGGGTAACACATACCGCGCGGGCACAATGTTCTACCCCCCCCCCCCCCCNGGCGGAATTAATTATTTAACACGTTCGCATACGCGCGAAGAGCCCCGTTCGTCCCATAAGTTTTCCGCGTCCCATTGCGCATGTATTGGTGTGTAGGTGCGTCCGTGTTGGTGTGTAAGTTACACTTTTAAGTACACGTTAAACAGACACAATTAATTCTGCATGAAGTATTCGCGGTGCTTGAGATTTTTCCCATGTGGGAGATTAATTGTGAGTGCGGCGCGCCGCACGCACAATCGCGCATCCGCGTCGTGTTTCGATAGTCGAGTTGCGCTGTTTTGATTTAGCGTGGCGGTATCATAATTAATTCGTGGCGAGGTTTTGCATAAGAGATCCGTCGAAAGAATTCAGATGGGCAGAGTGAGCGATGAGGCCTATATGTCTCTGCCCTCCCGGAACGCATGACTCATGGCGGCCACGGCAATGCAAATAGAGCGAATTCGGTATGAAAAATTAATTATATCTATTTATGTGAGCGCGGATAGTATGTACGCCGTACACGGGCGCGCACGAACAGAATGAGGTTATGAGCGTATTTATCATTTTTACTCGACTGACATATGTTCGCCGACCGGGATTTACTGGGAACCATCGAGAGGTATTTTTATACATTTATTGGTATCGTTTCTTCGTGTGATGTATGTGAAATTGGTGCAGCGTTGGTTGTTCTGCATTTTGAGTGTTACGTGCGCACGTACTTATGGGACTGAAAGATCAAACGGATATTTTATGGGTTTATAATGCAGTAGAAGCAGATGAACACAGTTGAAGATGATCATTTCCGGCATTTGCACTCACTTACACTGGAAAAAAACACATTGGATCTTGAGTCCAGACTCTTAAAAACATCATCGAAAAGAAAAAGTAGTCTCGATTCAATCGAATTTTTGCTTAAATCAAGAACCAAGCCTCTTAATTTGAGCGGATTTCCTTTTGATTTAAGCAAAAATGTGATTGAATCAAGAGTACTTTTTCTTGTCGATGTTTTTAAAAGTCTGGACTCTAGATACAATGTGATTTTTTTCCCAATGTCCTTTGTTTAAACCAAAAAACCGTTAGCATACGTCGCACAGTGGGTCGAGTCCATTAGAGAGGTCGGACATAAAATTTTTGACTAAAACTGCAAATTTTGATGTCTGTTTCGTCACATTTTAAATTTCAAGGGGTGTCCTTAGGAGAAAATTTCACGAGGAAACCAATGGAACTACTTTTAGAACCTGAAAATTTTGTATGAACGGAATTACAGGCGTTTAAAGTTTCTAAATTTTGTCCGACCTCTCCAATTGACTCGATCCACGTCGTCGTCTGTGTCTACACAATAAAGAAACCGGGCTTTTCAGCAAAAAAGGTAATCAGATGTTTCAACTGTGGCGTTCGAGACTACGGATCAAAATCAATAGATAAAAATGCCGCTTTATCTTTGCTTAAAACGACCATGTTGGAAAAAGCATGTTGAGATCGTATAGTTGGCGACAAAGGGAAAGTGTAAGTATACCCGCGGATGCAAAAAATTCGAACGTGTCACCCAGTCGCGTGACGGGCTTTGTGATGTATTGATAATCCCCCATTTGAAGCTATGGTAAAGAATCGATCATTAAGGTGTTCGCTACGAACACCTTATTCTTCGATCCTTTTCTACAGGTTTAAATGACAGATTAATCGATATATCGCAAATCACGCCACGCCACTGGTTACAAACTGCACGGATCACTCTAAGGAGTCGTTTTCAAGACTTTTTCGATGCGTCCCTTGCCATCCTGATTCACGTGCAATTCCACTCAAGGAATTAATGTCTATTTACTAAGCTTAATATATTTTGCGCGCAACAGACCCATTATGGAATCGCAAAACGCCACACAGACTTGTGTCTTCTTAAGGGTGATTTACATCTGAAAATCGCGAACTTGATCACAAGTGTAAATGCAAAAAATGCGGGAAAACATAGTAAATAAAAAAGTAAACTTAATTGTAAAATCAACAATTCTTTTTGGAAGTAGTTTTATAGCTCTTAAAAATGTACAATCCTGATGCAACACAGTAATTGAAATATTAAAGTTTCAGATGCATCACCCTCTTACAATGTGTTTTCGCGTAGAATGAATCATCATTGAAAATAAAAAGTCAAGAGTTTGAGTTGTATTATTGCTGCATAAGCATGCAAGTTTTTTACTTCTTTAAGCGAAGTATGAGTGAGAAATTATCGTGAACCACGTATGTAAAGGGTCACTTGAATTTCAAGTTTACTGATAACCGAACAGTGAATAACTAGGTGGATTTATCCGGAATCAGGCTGACTGTCATCAGGTTGTCTAATTTCTTCTCGAGTTGCTTTTATTTCAACAAAGAACTGAACTACCAAAAAAAACTAATTGAAAAAAAAATTAGACAACATCTAATGTAGTTCTGCTGATCTGACGTTATATCCGTCCAATTACTCAACCAAAAACAAATCTTCACAGAGAGAAATTTCAACACAGAAGTTAGGTTTGTATACGGGAATGGAAACACGAAATAAACCCTAGCCTTTGGTTGACACTTTCATCAGAACATGCCAGCTAGTTTTCCTGAAGAAATTTAATAAAAAACGAGTTTTGAACACTAACGTCGCAATCGGAGGGTTGCATTTTTGCAGTCTCTCCATTATTTTCTGTGCTAAATTTAACGCAAACTGTACCAAAATCAACACAAAATTTGTGTTGGTTTTTGTTTCACTTCTTATAAAACCAAAAGTAACACAAGAACACAAATATTTTATCAGTGTTTGTTTGATTGAGTATTGATGATTTCTGGTATTCTTTTCATTTTTCTATTCCCTACACATTTCATGTATCGACGGTGTCAGTTGGTAATCACAGAACTCGGTTTGCGACGTCGCAGACTCCCTGTCGTACTTTATTTTTTTGAGCGGAAAACTACTCAACGGCAATTCTTTAAAACTGCCGTGATTTTTCTTCTCTGTGCGAAGAAAATTCCGCAAAAACTTCAAGGAATGATGTCAATTTGTTCTCCTTTAAAAAAATAACAGAGAGGCAGAGATTTTCAGACACCGCAAACGGCATGGAGATGGCAAAACCCTCCCGTACATAGGTGCTCTACTTAAAACGCGATTGAACAAAATGAGCAATCCCAGTATTGCCAACTCCAGAAAACCACCTTTTCGAAATGCCTCTTGGTTTCAACCTTCTCCGTTGCACTCCGCATTGGAACGGTGTAAATGAAGGGTTTCCTCGGGGGATTTCTCAACATTCGTCAATTTCTTTCCATGTCTTCTTTTCGTGAGTTCCTCCTGAATCTCCTGCAACGTTTTCCCGCTCGTTTCTATGAAATGGTACTTCGCGAGATACAATCCGAACACTGAAGTAGCCGCGAAAAGGAAGAAGTTGATGTACATGCCAATATACCTGTAAAACAAAATCGAAATCAAAATATAAAATTAAGTAACGAAAAGCCAGTGACAGTCACGGGTCTAGATGCTCCGCAATTATACCTTTGATCATTTCATTAATTGATTAAGTTACAAGAATTTACTGTGGCAACTTCCGGGGGAAGCCCGCACACCCCCTACTAAACGGGGGGGGGGGGGGGTATTCCGTACCCTTTGGATCCCCTTGTTGTGGGAGGGCCAAGCCCCCTCGGAAAATTGACCGAGCTACGCGTATGCCCGTCATGCCAATTCGTGTCTCCTCATCTCATATTATCCTGATCCATAATGTCTCAATGTCTCATCTTAATGTAACTTATTAGTGTAAAAGTTCTTCAAAACCTCAAAAACTTTGCAGTGTATCTATTTATGAAAAAATCTGATTTAATTTACCTGATGCAAATGGCAAACAGAGAAGTATTCAAAATAGAGACGAATGCCGACCATATTGTCGTAACCGCGGAAGCGCGTGCCTTAATATTCGAGGGCAGGACCTCCCCTTGATAAAGACTCGGGACAGGTCCCACGCCGAGACAGAAGGAAATCCCATAGAGCAGCAACCCTAAGAACGGCACATAAGTGGTCCCCGAGAGGTCCAAACCTGTACTGTCCAGATAGTACCAAGCACCGGTGATGGTCATCGTGACGATGATACCGACATTGGAAACGACAAAGAGCCATCTCCTTCCAACGCGATCCATCAAGGAAGTCGCGAGGATAGTCGAGATCCAAACTACAACCCCCACGATAAGGGTGCAGGTCTCGGACGTGAAAGGGCCCACGTTTGGAGGGATGATGACGGTCAGGTAGGCGAGCACGGTGAACATCCCGCAGAGCTTCTGGACGGAATAGACGGCCTGGACCCTGATGAGCGCCGCGCGGTAGTTCTCGTTGAGGAAGACGTCTTTGAACGACCCTCGGTTCCTCTTGAAAGTCTCGGCGTACGTCTCGATGGCGTCGAGTTCTTGGCTGACGTCGACGTCGCCTCGCAGCCAGCTGAGGGAGGCCTCTGCTTTTCCGCGCTGGTTTTTCATGATGTAGTAGTAGGGGGATTCGGGGATGAAGAGGAACGCGACGGCGAAGATCAGGCAGGGGATGCAGGAGGCAATACCGAATGTGGAGTATGACACGTAGGGGCCGATGATGTATTCGTAGAGGTTGCCCAAGAGGTACATGCTAATCAGGAAGGAACCAAGGCTGCCTCGAACGTGGGGTTGTAACACCTGGAACAAAATAATTTGGCAGTCGGGTCAAGGCTCAAGGATAAAGAAACCCCAATATTGAGTTAAATTAAGAAACGGTCGACTCAGAAAATTTCGAGAATCGGTTATTGCAGGAAAATCGCATTGGCTTATTTTAGGAGGGTAACCGTTTTTAGATAGATGTGAACCTTAGTTTCTTAATGTATATTTGATGAGAACCCACTATAGTCCAGGCGCCTGGTAGGTCTACCTGGAATTTTGGGTACACAGCGATTTTTTTGGCTTACTATACGTTTTTTGGGTCACTGAATCCGAATCTGAAGTTTCCTACCGCGTATCTGGTGAGCATTTTCCGCCATTTTGAAAAAATGGCCTAAAAAGGCCTTTTTTGCGGTTTTTTTTAAATAGCGGCTACGCATAAGAAAAAATCCCGGATTTAGCTAATGTTTTGAATAGCTGACAAAGTTTGGAAGAAAATGGTATATGAATATGCTAGGTTTGCTCAAAAATTGAGGAACCTCGGATCTCGGAACTTTGGAACGCTTCGGAACTTAGCTGACCGCGGCGAGCCGGATCACGCGTTAACGGGTACGCCGCGAAAACGTGAATGGGCGCGATGCTCACGATGCTGTATCTTCCTCAATTTTTAAGCAAACCTAGCATATGTATACACCATTTTCTTCCAAATTTTGTCATCTATTCAAAACATTAGCTAAATCCGGGATTTTTTCTCATGCGTAGCCGCTACATAAAAAAAACCGCAAAAAAAGGCCTTTTTAGGCCATTTTTTCAAAATGGCGGAAAATGCTCACCAGATACGCGGTAGAAAACTTCAGATTTGGATTCAACGACCCAAGAAACATAAAGTAAGCCAAAAAAAATCGCTGTGTACCCAAAATTCCAGGTAGCCTCATTTTTAGCTACCAGGCGGCTGGACTACTAGGAATCGGAGAAGAAAGAGAAGAAGAAAAATAAAAACAGACAAAACACTTTTTTCCCTTTCTGTTTTTCTGTGTCTACTAATTTTCTCTATCTTTTTCTCTTTTTTTTCATCTTTCAACTCATTATAATCTAGAAATCTGAGACCGAACTTAAATTTTCTCAAATCGTAATTTAAGAATAACTCTGATATCCTGATCGCACTGAAGCTTCCTTCTGTGAGAGTCGGAACTTGTTACTAGATTCTCTCGTAAAAAATATTTTCATTGTTAACATACGCATGTGAAAGGCAGGGAAATTTTATTTGAAGAAAGTTGTCACACTGTTTCGATTTTTTTTTTTTTTTTTTTTTTTTTTTTTTTTTTTTTTTTAAGTACCTCAGCATTAAAGGCAGGACAGACGGTAAGAACGCAACCGGTCCAGAGTCCAGCGAAAACCCGCGCGAGGTAGAGCATGTACTCATTTGAAGCGAGAATGACCAACGTCCAGTTGGCGATGGAGAAGATGCTGAAAAGGAGGAGGGTAGTTTTCCTGCCGATGGCGTCCATGGCGATGCCAGCCAGCAGAGGGCCCATCATAATGCCGATGTAGAAGGTGTTGATGACCCATGCTTCTTGAAATAGAGTCAGTCGAAATTTGAGTTCGTTGTTTCGGATTTTTGGGAAAGCGGACGCTGACCAGCCCGCGATTGCGCCCACTGTCATTTGACCGATGGAGCCTACACATAAAAATATGGGTTATGGGTCAGTGATCAGGAGCATGAATGTACAAGAATTGCGTCTCGAATATCGATGATCGCAACTCACGGATCGGCCGGCCACAGCCCATAGGCGCTTTCCGAAATCGATAGCCCAAAATCGCGAATGAGTATCGATTGGTTAGCAGCCAAATTTTCAAAAAATGACTTCATTAAAAAATGTAATTCATCTTCCCTGATGAAGTCGCCACCAGTAAAAAATTATTTAAAAAGATTAGGATTAGGATTTTTACTTTAAAACTCTGTCTGAAATGTCACTCTTGAGTGGTAGTCTGCACTTCAAAAACGTGGTCTCCTCACAACTGCAAAGTTCTCAAGAGATTTTAAATAATAATGCATCGTTAATAGCTTGATTAATTTGTAGCCTTCCTCTCTCCTATCATCGACCTCGATGAAGGCCACCCGCTATGGATTGGCAAATGTTTCATAACAGATTTTAAGAGTTGCTCGATTAAAATTGAAATTTTGAAATCGGCATGCTTAGAGATTCGACATTGGGTTGTTTTTTTAAAAATATTGATTCGCGAAAAGTGAAGGCATGGGAAGTGGATATATGTCAGCTGAAAAAAGGTTTTGTTCTACGATTTAAATTTTATGGATTTTTTCAATATTGCAACATCCACTTTTTCTCAGTGGACGCGTTTTTTGCAAAATGCGTTCACTGCGCTTATAGAAAGTATACTTAGCGCGATGAAATAACTTTGCATTTCACTTGCTTTCTCGAGCTCTTTAAATGAAAATAATCTTCGGTTACGCAAACTTAAAGTTTGGTTTAACGAACACAGAAGCCCATTCGATATCAAACTTTCGATTCGTGCGTCCACAATTTCAAATTTTACGCATTGGTAAAAGAGGATCTGTCGCGTGTTACGCAACGCCTCTTCAAAATTCACCCGAGACAGAATATTTCTTCTATCCCTTTCTCTCCCATTTCTTCCGTCTCTCTCTTAGTTTCTACAAGTCAAGCATTTTCAGGCCTTCAGCCAATGCTTGAATACAATCAGACGCATGATCACAATTCTTTAATATCTTTTTTATCAATGCACAGGATGGCTGATGCAATGCAGCCTAAATCTTACGTAGCTAAGACCGTTAGAGCTCGTCTTCAACGACTCTAACTTCACTTCGGTTTTTCACATCTTAGCGCGACGATATGTCAATTCCTATACGCTCTACCGCAAGTCGGCTTAATATGTAACTTCTTGTTCAAATTCTAATATCCGTCGTATCCATGTGTTACCATCCGGTCCGTGAATAAAAATTCTATGTGATTCAACGACTTTCTCATTTTCGTTCTTTAACACCGAACTTTGCTCTCCCAAATTAACGACGCTGTTTTAGCGGGACGTGAGTGTTTTCAGTCCGCTCACTAGGTTAAGTGTTCGCCACAATCCCTCAAAACGCGACGCGAAACCGAAAATCCCGTTCAGACGCGACAGGATCACTTCCACGAACCGAAAGATTTGTTTGACTGAAGAACGTTAGGTTTGAACTAGCAATGATTTGGTTTGACAAACCGAATGGTTCCATCGATGTTGAACATTTAACGTTGAGCTAACAAGAGCAACATTTTTTCAGTGTGCGGTGAATAACGGAGAATAGATGAATACTTACAGCAAATGGCTGCCAGAGTCTGCCGAAAAATGCTTTTCGACATTTTAAATATGTATGTTGCAGACAACGAAGTTTACATAGGTCACGTGCAACTGGACGATTTGAGAACTTCCGGGTTATTACACTTAATCAATCACTGAAATATTTCGCCTTGCGCACAAACTAGACACAATAACGACACTGTGTAAAATTATTAATTAACTTGGAAAGTTTCCACAACTGACGATTGGCCCTTATATTCGACATATTACCGTCTTCGTCTCTGTACCGTCTCGAATTGAATGAGGGCTTTTTATTGCTAAGAATTTTTATAACCGATAAGAAGCGGGCTCCTTATCAGTATAGCGGGTTTAGCTGTGTGAACTTCAGTAGTCCAGGCACCATACACCGAGAAAAAAACTCCGGCCGAGGAAGCCGTACTTATGGGCTATATAAACATATTGTCTGCGTTCCGGGCTCAGAGGCCGAAAGTTCCGGGCGTAGGACCCGAAGCAATCGAAGCCACGGCTCCAGGACCCGGAACTTTCGGCCTGTGAGCCCGGAACGGACGGTATGTCTGCCCGGTATGCCCGTAACTTGTTTTCCACTGTACGACAGCCCAGAATAGAGCCTGGTAAGGAAACACCTGAGCGCTAGACAATTTTAGTTTTCTTGAATTCAATTGAGTCCCCTGGTTTCACAAGATAAAGACTTAAAGATTTGGAGATGAGCTTTCCGATTCAGGCGGGAAAGGGCCCAAAATTACCCAGAAAATCGGTTTCTGCGAAATATTTCAAAAAATTCGCAGAATAGAGAAAAATATTAAGTTATTGGATCTGTTCCTGACAAACTTTCCTACAAGAATCATGTTCATTTTTTTTATAAATCCCCCTTCCCCCTTTAAACTCGATTTTTCTCCTAAGAATGAACCCAAAATATCCTTTCTCGGCGGTTTCTCGTATATAACTCGAAAAAGGCAAACTTTTCGAAAACGATGATGTAATAATGTATTTTCCCATTAAATTTTCAAGAGTAATGGTCAAAATACTGTTTCTTTGTGGGACGGTTGGATGCCCCGAGACCCTTAAAAAACGGCAGCAAGTATGCGCCATGGGCCGTCGCGCCTCGAGGAGGTTTCATCGCAGCTGCAGCGATCGGACCATTAGGTCCTTCCAATCCTCATGAATTTATGCTGCAAAATAACTATTTCATCGGCGTCGTTACGGACAAAAGTATGTATTCAATGAACAGCATACGACATGAGGTATCAAAACATTTTGTTATAAACTTTACTGTACATAACTTACTTTACATACACTTTACTTTACATAAACTGTAACTAGAAAATATAATTTCCTATTTTCCTCCCTATTTCCCTCTCAATGATGAGACTTCAAATTGTGTTTAAAATCACCCACTTGCACGCAGGTATGTTATAATAAGCCGACGCGTGTCGTTCCAACCGGTGGAACGTCATCAGCGCAACTGGTTTTGTTCCTTTCCGGATCAGATGACCGGCGCCTGTTCCTCCTTTCTACTCTATCCAAAATTGTAAACATAGAATCGTAAGTTAAATGAGTGGTTGTATTTACTATTCGCATACAGTTCTGCGAAGAAAGAGAGTATTGTGAAAACGCGGATGAACAAAATATGGGAGCTCAGTATTGCCAACTTCAGAAAAACACCACTGATCATTCGTCGGTCCACTTAGCATCCTTCTCGAAATGTTTCTTGGTTTCAACCTTCTCCGTTGCATTTGGCATCGGAACTGTGTAAATGGTTGGTTTTGCATTTACGGGGGACTTCTTGTCATCCGTGAATTTCCCTCGATGCCGTCTTTTCATGAGTTCTTCTTGAATCTCTTGTAGCGTCTTCCCGCTCGTTTCTGTGAAATGGTACTTCGCGAAGTACAATCCGAACACTGAGGTGGCCGCGAACAGGAAGAAGTTGATGTACAGGCCAATATACCTGGAAATCAAAATAATAATAGAAACATGTAACATATCATAATAAGAAACGATAACCAAAACATGTAAAATAAAATGTTAAATAAAATATTATAATATGTAAGCTCAAATGACTGATGAAATTTAAATTGAAAAAAAGGTGGCAAAATCAATTGGAAGTAAAAATGAGGGGCTTAGAGGGCAAGGCGCATAACGGCAGTTTTTGAAAAAATTAAGATATTCATGACCTCAACTAATTAGACTAGTTTGAAAGTATATTCTGTGAGAAATTCTCAACTAAAACCCAACTCTAAAGCATCAAAAAATGAGCTTAAACTGCGTTTCTACCACGAGGCTCCATGTACTTTTGAAATTTAAACACGTATTTCTAGAAATAGCAATAACTGCACTTAAGCGCCTTGTCCTCCACACCCCTGAAATGAAAAATGCGAAAATTTCTGAGGTAGATTCGTCGTTTTTCGAATGAAGGAACGTAACCATTCCAAGGTTGCAAATTGACACAAATAATTCAATTTTTAAAAGGATGCACTTGTGCAATTTTGTCAATTTTTTTTTTCTGATTTTTGCACAGAATCAAAGGCAAAATCAGTAAAATGATAAGAAAATGCAATCATCAGTTAGAAAGTCCCAAGATTCTCCTGATAAAAATGAAATTTGCGAAGAAAAATTGGCAACGTTGAAATATAGTAACGTTTTTTCGTGAGGAAATTGACGGATTGTGAAGTTAGGGGTAGATTTCGTACTTTCTGAATTTTTTTCTTCGGTGATTTTTCAACCAAGACGGAACGTTGGTCTCGTCTCAGAAAAAATTAACAATACTTTCATTTAAAAGCATCTGATTCAATTTACCTGATACAAATGGCGAACAGAGTCGTGTTCAAAATAGAGGCCCACGCCGAGCACATCGTTGTAACCGTGCAAGCGCGAGCCTTAATGTTCGAGGGCAGAATCTCCCCTTGGTAAAGGGTAGGAATAGGCCCCAGGCCGAGACAGAAGAAAATCCCATAGATCACCAACCCCAAAAACGGCACATAAGTAGTCTCCGAGAGATCCAAATCCGTACTGTCCAAATAGTACCAAGCTCCAGTAATTGTCATCGTAACGATGATGCCAACGTTCGAGATTACGAGGAGCCTCTTCCGACCAATTCGATCCATGAGGGAAGCTGCGAGGGTGGTCGAGATCCAAAGAACGACCCCCACGATAAGGGTGCAGTTCTCAGACGTGAAAGGACCCACGTATGGAGGGATGATGACGGTCAGGTAGGCGAGCACGGTGAACATCCCGCAGAGCTTCTGGAGGAAGTAGATGGCCTGGACGTTGATGAGTGCCGCGCGGTAGTTCTCGTTGAGGAAGACGTCTTTGAATGACCCTCGGTTTCTCATGAACGCCACGGCGTACGTCTCGATGGCGTCGAGTTCTTGGTTGACGTCGACGTCGCCTCGCAGCCAGCTGAGGGAGGCCTCTGCTTTTCCGCGTTGGTTTTTCATGATGTAGTAGTAGGGGGATTCAGGGATGAAGAGAAACGCGACGGCAAAGATCAGGCAGGGGATGCAGGAGGCGATGCCGAATGTGGAGTATGACACGTAGGGGCCGATGATGTATTCGTAGAGGTTGCCTAAGAAGTACATGCTCATCAAAAAAGAGCCCAGGCTGCCTCGGACGTGGGGTTGTAGTACCTGGAACAAGAAAATTTTTCGGTCAGGTTAAGGAAAAAGTAACCCTGAGATATAGTGGACTACATTTTGCATGGAACTACTATGTTTAGTTCATCCATAAAAGCACCTATCTGCATAGTGAGACTAACGGCACGTTCGTTGTTTCTAAACTGATCCGGAAATAGTAGTATCTTGTTGCAAAGTCTAGTTTAGGTTAGGTTTTTGAACGACACAACTCAAAAAATTTAAGAAATTTGGCTCGTCGCAGAAATATGGTCTTTAGAATTAAACGCAACTTACGTGTTTTCCTCTTAAAAAATTTCTTTGATCCCCCATGAGGACGCATTAGAAATAGGGAAAAAAAGAAAAACAGCAGAATAGGAAGCAGGAGAAGAAGGATGAGAGAAGAAGACGAAGAAGAAAAAAAGAAAAATGATGATGAAGGGAAAAAAGGATGGAGGCGAACAACAAGAAGATGAAAAGAAGAGCTGGAAGGAGAGCGAGAGGGAGACAGAAGATTTAGAAGAAGATTTTTTCCCCTTTGACATTTGTTTTATCTTTTTAATACATTTTTCTCTATCTTCTCATTTTTCAGTTTTGAATTTCCTTGACTAGCCGAACTTTTCAAATAGCTCAGATTGCAACCAAACTTTCTTGAGTAGCATCTTCACTCCCCTTTTACTTAAAAAGTTGGGCAATTTTAAAATTTAAAGGATACTTGGACTATTTTAATCGAAAGGAACCATATCAATTCTGAAATGAGCCCCTACATCCATAAGAATACATGTGCGACTGGGCTCATGTAACAATGGGTACAGGTCCTTTTTATTTAAACGCGTTCCGTTTCATCCAGTATCTATGGACTCTTTCTTATTTATTGACAGTATTCTCTGATATTTTTTAAGAAAAAAAAGTACCTCAGCAAGGAAAGCAGGGCAGACGGTGAAAACGCTGCCAGCCCAGAGTCCAGAGAAAACCCGCGCGATATAGAGCATGTACTCATTCGAAGCGAGGATGACCAACGTCCAGTTGGCGACGGAGAAGATGCTGAAGAGGAGGAGGGTAGTTTTCCTGCCGATGGCGTCCATGGCGATGCCGGCCAGCAGAGGGCCCATCATGATGCCCACATAGTAGGTGTTGATGACCCATGCCTCTTGGAAAAGAGTCAGCCGAAAGTTGAGTTCGTCGTTTCGGATTTTTGGGAAAGCGGATGCTGACCAACCCGCGATTGCGCCCACTGTCATCGGACCGATGGAACCTGCACATGAAAGTTTGTGTCACTGGTTAGTGGAGGAACACGGACGTCCAAGAATTGCGTTTAGGTTAGTGAAACCCAAGAAAAAGCAACATACCCATGCTGCCTCTTATAGCACAAATGCCGTATCTCCATTCCAGTTTGGCACATTTTCTTTCAGAAAAAATGCTCCTGTACAAGAGAAGCTGTAACTATGCGTCATCTGCAATTTTTGAATAACTGTGTTGTACCATTTGGAGGTTCCAACAAAAATATAAGGCAAAGAGGTGACTAGGTTTCCTAGAAACGGAGAATTTTGTCTGTAAAAGAATTTTAAAATCTGGGATTGAGTTATGGCGTTCTTTTGGACGGGATTATGAATGAGCTCCAAAACTTCCTCTCTCAACATCGGAAAATAGCGACTTTTTTTAAACAGAAATATTCTCGAATATGACGTCAAGAGGACTTCCTTGAATTCCTTGAAAATGAGGAAAAAATTCCTTGAATCAAGCAAGATTTTACTTGCTATGAGCAAATATCTTCCAATCATATCAATTCTACCGTGCCAATTTTTATTCTGAGAAGCGAATTTGAGAATTTGACGCTATATTATATTGGTTTTATTGCGGTTTGAAAAGTAAACATCCGCGAGAATTTTTAAATTTTGCAATTGAGATATAGGGAGTTCTAAAAAAAATGCCATCAATGTAATAAAATTGAAAGGCGTTTATTCTTAAGCAGTAGAATTCTCCAAAAGTGACTTGATTAGTTATGTAATGTCTTTTCTTTGATGAATTTGGCGCCAGTAAGAAAGTTGGGAGTGAAAAGATTAGAATTTTGACAATAAACCTCTTCAAAGTTGCTCTTGAGTAGTGGTACCATGAAGATCATCCTTGTTGCAATTAATTATATTTGTCGATCAAGTTAAGATATCTTGGAACTCAAGGCATGATATTATGTCATGAAAAGTGCTGAAATCCGTGCCTTCTTTTTATCAGCGTGAGTGAGTTTTCTAGACGTTTGCTATCTGCACTTCAAAACCGTCGTCTCCTCACAACTGCAAAGTTCTCAAGAGTTTTAAATTATACTTCATTTTCAATCTCTCGATAAACCGTTCCCTCCTTATTCCGATCATTGGCCTCAATGATGGCATTTAACGACTCGCCGTGGAATGGCCAACTTTTATAACAGGTTTTAAGGGTTTCTCACTTAAAATTGAAACTTTTTAAATCAGTATGCCTGGATATTCACTATCGGGTTGTCTTTTGAAAATCATCCACTCGTGAACAATAATGTCATGGGGAATGGAAATATGTTAAGTTCATACGTTATGAAACTGAATATCGACGGTGCAAGTCGGCAATCACATAACTCGTTTGCGGTGTCTGAAAATCTCCGCAACTATGTTATTTTTTTAAAGGAAAACAAATGGACATGATTCCTTGAAGTTTTTGCAGAATTTTCCTCGAACATAGAAGAAAAATCACGGCAGTTTTAAAGAATTACCGTTGAGTAGTTTTCCGTTTAAAAAATAAAGTATGACAGGAAGTCTGCGACGTCGCAAATCGAGTTATGTGATTGCCGACTTTCACCGTCGATATGTTTCTATTCACTGAACTTTTCGGCGCTACACCGAGGGTTTGACCTGTCCCTATTCCTTCAACTTCATAGACACAGTCAAGCGTCTTTACACCCCAGATTGTCTTGACCTCGATAATAAACAGCGATAGCTCCATATTAAAAAAAAAAAAATTGAAAAAAAGAAAAAAAGTCGGTAATGTTCACAAAACGTTCTGTCTTTAGTATACCTCAAATCTTTCAGTTGATTTAACTGAAATAAAGTTGGCTATCCCAAACTTTCAACTTCCATTAAGTTGAAAAAAGGCCTCTTCATATGACTTAAATTTAATAGAATTTTCTATATTGAGCTTTTCATTTTTCACAGTGGACGCGTCTCACTCACGCGTCCGTTTATACGAAGTTGATATGCCTGGCGCGAATGAGAAAACTTGTTTTCTCGTGGTCACCTGTTAAAATAATCTTCGGTTACGTGAACCTAAAGCTCTGTTTGACAAACACAGATGCCCATCCGCTACCAAACTTTCGATTCGTGCGTCCACAACCTCAAATTTTACGCATTCGTAAAAGAGGATCGCTCCCATGCACAAACCGAGTAGATGTGGATTACATTTACCAATAAGGAACCACTATTTCTGGCCCATTTTATACACAACAAACATACCAATGTTTTCCTATGCAGATATGTGCTTCTATGGGAGAGCCAGAGATAGTGGTTCCTTATTGGAAAATGTAATCCATCTGATTGACGTACCGAGAGTTTGGTTTGACAGAGCAATTAGTTTAGTTTGACACCGCACTGGGAAAAAAAAAAACACATTGGATCTAGAGTCCAGACTCTTGAAAACATTGACAAGAAAAAGGACTCTTGATTCAATCAGATTTAAGCTTAAATCAAAAGGAAATCCGCTCAAATGAAGAGGCTTGGTTCTTGATTTAAGCTTAAATCTGATTGAATCAAGAGTATTTTTTCTTGTCGATGTTTTTAAGAGTCTGGACCCTAGATCCAATGTGTTTTTTTTTTTCCCCAGTGCGGTGTCAAACTAAACTAATTGCTCTGTCAAGAACCAAGCCTCTTCATTTGAGCGGATTTCCTTTTGATTTAAGCTTAAATCTGATTGAATCAAGAGTCCTTTTTCTTGTCAATGTTTTCAAGAGTCTGGACTCTAGATCCAATGTGTTTTTTTTTTTCCAGTGCGAAAAGTTCAATCGACGATGAACACTTCAAATTGAGCTAAAGTCCAGTTTTTCTCAGTGTACGATGAATACATAAATACTTACAGCAAAAGGCTGCCAGCGTCTGCCGGAAGATGCTTCTCGAAATTTTAAACATGTTGCACACATTGAAGTCTACGGAAGTCACTCACAAGTTACAACTGGCAAATTCCACGATTTGCAGTTTTTCAATTCAATTAATCACTGGGATATTCTGACTCACGCTCAAACTCGAAACAATAACGGCACCGAGGACAATTGATTGACTTGTGAAGTTTCCACAACTGACTATTTCCCCACATATTCCCGTCGTCGCGTCCGTAGCGTTTCGGATAGAATGAGCTCAAGTTCATCGGTGATGGTTCTCAAGTCGTCCAAAGCCCAGTTTACACCGAACGTGACGTCAACAACTCACGATGACGTCACTCAGCATCGAAAGAACCAATCGAGAATCGACCCTCAGAGCACGGAACTCCGATCGACGAATCACATGCTGGCGCTAAGCTGTCAACTATTTTCAGCCAAACTGGCGGGATTCTTATCGGTTTCACGTGATTGGTTGTGTGAATCTTAGTTCGATATTCGCGGTGTTGATCCGGCTCGAACAAATGTCACGGTCCTTTCCAAATCGATAAGTAGTGGGCGTGGAATCTAGCAAAACATAGGTTATCTTATCTTCTAGGCCCTCTCGACGCACTAAGTATCCGAATTCGCATTACATTATGAAAGTAATTGTACATTGCTCGGAATTGTAGCCAAGAAGGCAAAGTCATTAGTGCGTGCTAAGACAACACCACCCAACCCCCACCCCCGCTCCACCCCAAAAAATAAACGAATTTTGTCTTTGAACATGTCAATGTTAGAATTTTCAGGATACCTATCCTTCGTGTGATTTATTCCTCGAACCTTGTACCTCAATCACTGCCTGTGAATCCTCAATCAATCCTCAGCAAAAACGCCGTGACTCCATTCTAGATTTTTCTGCTTTTTACCGAAAAACCAACGACCATTTATCCTTCTTGGTTCTAATTGGCCTGGTTACACACTCAACTTTCCGTCAAATTCCGATCAAAATGATGACCAAGATGGCGGTCGAGAGTTATCTAGATTGATTAGAAAAATTATTAAAAACAGCGTGTTGATTGAAGTAAGCATGAAATAAGCACGGTTGTGTGGAAATCAGATGAAGGATGAGCCCCACAGCTCCATCATCTACCATCAAATTTTTGCAGGCCGCAGAAAGTTGATGATAGATGGTGCGTGCCAGTCACCATTTGATCGGAAATTGATGGAAATTTGAGCGTGTAATCAGCACATAAGATAACTGCGGAATATCTTTGAGAATTCAAATTTACAAAATGAAGCATCTTAGTGATCAGGTTTTCTCGCAATAGAACAGTATGTGCGGCAGAAAAATGCAAAGTGTTGATTGGAGTTACGGCGTTTTTGCTGTGGACGGCAGTGTGATACTGTAATCGATGTTATTTTACGCAGAGGCATTTTCAGAAAAAGCGTCAAGGTTGTCTTTACGAGAGATTCTCTTTTCTTCTTTTATCCGTAATTCATAACCAGTATACAAGATGAAGTTGTATCAGGCTGGATGCCTTTAATAAACCATCCACTAGAGGGTATTTCAGAGAAACTTTTATAAGAAGAAATTTCTGTACTCTTGAAAGTATCACCGTATGTGCTTATATACTGTTTTTTAAATTTAACTATTGTTTCAGAAAACTCATTTTGAAGTAGCACAAAGTTTATAGAGGCTGAAAATGTATAGCGGACTTATCTCAAGAAAGGGAAATAAAAAGACATAGAATAAACGAAACTATCTTTATTGTACAGTAGAATGAGCATGCAAGAAGGCCCGGAAAATCGGGCTCAAGGATTACATGCTGTTGCCGAAATAACTAATATAAGGGGGAAGAGGGATATGAAAGGCATTACATAAAGAAAGGTTGTAATTTTATCTTAATTTCCGATTCCTTTCTCCGTCTTAAGTTTCCTTAAACCATACAAAGAAAACTTAGAACAATTGAAATCGCAAAAAATTGGATTAATGTAGATTAATTTTAAGATCACTGGTTCTTAATTTGCATGCGTTACTTCAGACTATTTATTGGAACAATCAGAAATGTTTGGTATTGACCGATCTTTACATACGTTCTGATTCTTTGAGGCGATATCACTGCATTCAGTTTTCTGCCGGAAGGAAAATACAAAGGTAAAAAAAATGGTTTTGAAAAGTTTACATAAATTAAGCATACCATTTTCTAAACTTATTAATTCTCATTGTGATCCAAATCATCGGAATAATTATTGTATAAGCCCGAGTTTTTTCTCTTATCATTTACGAAGTGTAATTATGTAACACTTTCGGCCTGCTTTTTCAAGGGTCACTTATAGTTCAAGTTTCTTGTTTAGTTTATTTAATGAGCTTATTGAATAATTATACGAATTGAGAGCACGCGCTGCGGTCATTATTTTAGCATCCCATTCTAACGTCTCCATGTATCTATTAATAGGCGCATTTTAACATACTTCAATCCTGAAACACTGCAAAATGCATAGGCGGTAAGAAAAGGAGTCTTTAATTCATCAGGTATAGGAACAGCTTATGAATACTTTTCTATCAGCAGTCTTACACATCTATTTCTTAGAATTTCGGTTAATCCAACCAAAAATTGGACCAAATTATGCAATCAACGGCAAATGCTGGTTCATCTGGTGAGATCACCTTTCTGTACAGGGGAACTAATGGCACATACGTTGTTTCCAAAATGAGCCAGAAATAATCGCTCGTAATATTGCAAAACGTGGTTCAATAATCATTTCCAGAGGCAAAAATTGAACAAAATTTCATCAAAAACGAGATTTTAAGGTATATCGCGATTATCATGTCACCGTTTGCAGGAAAATTGCGTGCTGATTGCTGAAATTTATAGACAAAGCAAAAGACAAAGAAGACATAGCGAGTATGGAGCAATCCTATCGGTGAAAATGGTCATATAGTTCTTATACAGCAGGGGAGAAAATGATGAGCTAACTAGTCTATTATCCACCTCATTTGTCCATTGCAACTACCCGCCTCCACCAATAAGATCCCTCCATATCCCGTTTGTCCTCTTTGTGTATAGCTCTGTCTATCAATTTCAATAATCAGCCCGCAGGTCTATTCTCAATGAGGAGGCGGCCGTCATTTTAATATCCTCGGAGTCTTCAAAAACGACTACCGCTTTGTGGCGGTCTTCAAAGAGTGTGGGATCGGTACTTGGCAAACTCCTAGTTTCCCACTCAATGCTGAGGCTTTTCTCTTCTGATAACTCATCATAAGCTCCTCCTGGATCTCTTGCAGCGTTTTCCCCTTGGTCTCGATGAAGTGATACTTGGCGAAATAAAGACCGAACACAGAGGTCAACGCGAAGAGGAAAAAATTAACGTAGATCCCGATGTACCTATTACAAACCGCGAAAAGAGTCGTGTTCACGATGGACGCGAAGGCCGACATCATCGTCGTGACCGTGGACGCGCGGGCTTTGATATTCGAGGGCAAAACCTCCCCCTGGTAGATGGACGCGATGGGCCCCACACCCACGCAGAAGAAACCGCCGTACAGGAGTATACCCAGAAACGGCACATAGGTAGTCCCCGCCATATTGAAATTGGTGTGCCCGTCCAAAAAGTACCACGCGCCGGTTATGGAAGTCGTGACTATTATGCCGATATTCGATATCACGAAGAGGGGCTTCCTCCCGACCGCATCGAGCAGGAAGGTCGAGGAAAAGGTGGACAGCAGTAGAACGATACCCGTGATCTGGGTACAGTTCGAAGGAGCGAGAGGTCCTACCCTCTTCGGGATGATGACCGTCAAGTAGGCTAGCACCGTGAACGTCCCGCAAAGCTTCTGAATGAAGTAAACGCCCTGGACGTTCAAGAACGCCTTGCGGTACTTCTCGTTGAATATCAGGTCCTTGAAGCTGCCTCTTTGCTTCATGAACGTTTCCGCGTACTTTTCGATCTTGTCCAACTCTACGGAGACGTCAGCGTCACCCCTCAACCACGTCAACGACGCCTCCGCCTTCTTGCGCTGCCCTTTCATCATGAAGTAGTAGGGCGTCTCAGGGATGAACGCGAACGTGGCGGCGAAGACGAAGACGGGCGCGCTCGAGATCAAGCAGAACGCGCGGTACGTCACGTAGGGTCCGATGAGGTTCTCGTAGAGGTTCCCGGCGAAGTACATCATGACGAACAAGCTGCCGAGGCTACCGCGGACGTCGGGTTCCAGGATCTCGGCCAGGAACGCGGGGACGATGGTGATGACGCAGCCGGCCCAGAGGCCGCCGCAGAAGCGGCCCAGGTAGAGGATGTGCTTGGTGGGGGCGAAGGTGACCAGGGTCCAGTTGGTGACGGCGAAGACGGTGAAGAGGAGGAGGGTGGACTTCCTGCCGATGGCGTCCATGGCGATGCCGGCCAGGAGGGGGCCGACCATGATGCCGGCGTAGATGGTGTTGATGACCCAGGCCTCCTGGAAGACGGAGAGCCGGAAGCCCAGCTCGTTGCTCCGGATTTTCGGGAACGCGGAGGCGGACCACTCGGCGATCGAGCCGACCATCAGGGGGCCGATGCAACCTGCAAAAAAGTGTTCAGAGATCATTGAATGGACCACTAGACCATACAGGGTGTTCGAAAAGTCCCCCCCCCCTCTAACTTTTGACCTAATTGAGGTAGAGATTTGAAACTTGAAGGGTGTTCCTAGATCAAAGGGAGCTACTCTTTGACCCCCTCAAAATCGAACGAGGTATCACAAAGGGGGTCTTCCCATTTGAAAAAAAAGTTAGGGTACGTAACCCCTCCCCAAGGGGGAGCCTCCCCAAAATTTGTTTTTTTTTTTTTGGGAGGGGGGTCAAAAAGTAGCTCCCTTTGATCTAGGAACACCCTCCAAGTTTCAAATCTCTACCTCAATTAGGTCAAAAGATAGAGGGGGGGAGGGGACATTTCGAACACCCTGTAGATAAGACCCATTATTCGATGCTGCGATTATTCTGACGCGAGTTCGAATAATCGCGCCAAACACTGTGCGCAATCGCATATTAGCGCCTGCAAGACTGTGTGAATACCTCTCGCATTGCATGAAACGTATTTTAACGCCTGCAAGGCTGTAGGAATACTTCAATCGTTGTAATTTCTCGGCGAAGACCCAGCACCTGCGTGCGATCATAGAGTACATAGAGTCGTAATGTAAATGGGAGAGCTGGCCCCATATTCTGCTCGACGACTTCCGAGCCCGGTGTGCGCCGAGTTTCGGTCACTTTTTCGATACATGTTCGATCCAAAATGGCGGTGTGTAACACGTGATAAGTCCTATCTTTTTTATTTACATCGGATGGCCGGGTACCCGTGTATCGAAAACAATGGATTATGTATCGAAAAAGTGACCCGGCGTCACACAGGAATCTCGGGATTCGGGACCTGGATATGCCTAAAAGTGGCGACATCTCTCCCACTTATATTACGACTATATGTACTCTATATACAAGGTACGAAGTTAAGCATTCTGATACATGTTTTTTTACCAAAATTCCACGTAAAACACGATTTGTGCGACAAAAATTACTGAAATTAACTCCTAAGATATTCAATGTTTCTTGACGCGTGATTTCAAACCTCCCGCTCATGAAAACAAAATAGTCTATAAGTGAATCAAATCGCACGCTGAACTTTATCATGACAATCTCTGCGATATGAAAATCTGGCGACTTCAATCTTGAAGCTTTGGCTGAGCTATAGCAAATTGTTCACATTTTGAACGATGAAGGGTAGGAAAGGAACGATGCTAGTTTGAGAAGCCTGCCCAAACTATTGTGAGACGCGATTTGACTCACGTAGAGAATTGCATTTCTTAATTGTGACTGGGCAATTCAAAATTCTCGTAACCAATGTAAAATAAAAACGTTAATATCTTAGTTAGCTGTTGATGTCAGTAATTTTCGATGCAAGAAACGCGTTCTACGTAAGATTTTAATTAAAAAACGTGTATCAAAATGCTTAAATTCGTATTTTGTCCATTGTATGCGGCGCAATGAGGAAAACTTGTGGTTTTAGTGATTACAATATTGCATTGAGGGAACTTTTCTATTTAATAAGTTCCCTACGAGAATTTTCGTCAAGTTAAATGAAAAACTCCTGAGGTAATAAAGAATAAGCTTCAACTCATCAAGTTGGAAATTCAAGGTTTTGATGCCTCCTCAAGATCTTGTGATTCGAGCAAAGTACATTGAGTCAAGTTTTAAATCAATATGAGCCACTCGACTTGAGTGAAATGGAATTATCTAAAATTTAAGAGGATTCAGTCTGTTTAGAGATGCACTATAAAAAATTTATCATAAATCTACTTTTTTAATGATGTACATAATGATATACAAGATGAATATATGATTGAAAGTAATTTTTATGTTTTATTTCTGTTTGTTACAGGTGAGCCTACCCAAGATAATTTCAACCCCTTATTTTCTTACATAAAAAATCTCGTAAGTTTTCCTCAGGTATCCTCACTAAACCCTTCTTTTCCAAAAACTTTACTTTACAAAATGTATAGTCTCCACCGTACCCCTGAAATTTTACATCAACATGGAATGAAGGTTTTTCTGCAAACTGATGGTCTTATTGTCATTAGTTGAAGCAATCAATACAGATCCTGTCTCTAGGTCAATCGGTCTTGGGTTTGAATCCCAGTATAGTAGCGAAAAATTTTTATAGAACTGGCACGTGGATCTACAAAAATTTTAATCCCAAAGCATGGATGTGCTCTAACCCCTTGACCCAGTTTTCTTTTCTAGTTGCAGAATTCTGGTAAATTCAAAACCCCCAGATACCTCAAAAAAGAAGGGACTGTCAGTGGGTGGAAAGAGCACCAAATAAAATTGTCTGCAGGAACATCTGTTCTAACAGTTTCTAATTCAATACAGCACGCACGAAAATAAGTAGACTTATCGATACTCACATGATAATGCTGCGAATATTTGTCGACGTACCCGTTTTGGTATTATGAACATGCGATATAGTTTTAAACTTGGAAGAGAAATAAACGCGAACGTCTTGAGTGTCACGAGAAATCAACGAATTCATTTGAAATTATTAAAACCATCACTAAATATCCTCACTCTAAACCCCCTTTTATACACACACAAAAGACGGAGACAATTTTCATCGAAATTGGTCGTGGTGCTCTCATACAATGCATCGTAAAACTGTTCCGCGGACCAGCTGGAATTTTTTCCGAAGAAGGCCATTTTTCATCTGTACAATAGAATTGAATCTGTTCTGAAGGTTGTTACCTGCTTATTGTTTAAGAGTAGTGAACTTGAACTTATCCGACCGACTTATTTTTGAGAAATATATTTGATCTCATATTTTTTCCGATATTTCGGTGCATAAGACAGGACCTTGACCTAGTTGAGTCTTGCCGACTCATGTTATAACCGAGAATTCATATCAGAGCAAATTATGCGTCAACAGTCCGAATGAAATGTAGCCGTTTGTGTGTGTCAATATTACACAGGAAAATTCACACATATAGCTTATGTAATCTATGACCGAAGCAAGTTATAAGGTACATTAAACTGTGAGCATTAGAGTAGTTTTAATGCTGGCCTCCGCATTTTTCATATTTCTGTGCAAGCAGAGGAAAAATTCAGAAAAACCACAGAAAACAATTTTAAAAAAAATGTCAGAAATCGGCATGCACGTGTGTGCCTCGGACATAGGCGGCAGTTTACCCATATTGAGACTTTACTCAGAGACCTCCTAAAAATACCACTGCAAGATTGCAACCATGGAGTTTTCTTGCTTTCGGGTCAACATTTCCCCATGGGCTGTCGCTAGCCCTCCTCAAACGTTAATGCTTTCCTTCCAGAAAATGGGCCTGTTGCAAACTTTTGCCAGAGCAAATATAAGAGTTGTTTCCTACAGATGATGCCTCAAAAATCACGATGGGCGCATTGGCAAAGTCTGAAATGCACTCATAACTTCACAATCTGCGTAAGAAATTTGCGTTTTTTTGAGCTTCCCGCTTCAAAAACGATACTATGGCACAGGTGAACATTTTGTTAGAGGAGTCGCTCCATCGTCGGCAATGTTCATCATGGCCGACGCTTCCGCAGTTCCGCGCGTAATTCGAGGTGAGTTCAGGGTCAATCAAGGCGGGCGAGGAAAATATGAACGTAAACACGCCGATTGTTATCTGGTCTAATGCTGTTCAGGTGTTATCTCGTCTCATCATACGTGTTTTGGCGAACTGGCGTCGGCCATGATGAATATTGCCGACGATGGAACGCCTCCTCTAACAAAATGTTCACCTGTGCCGTAGTATCGTTTTTGAAGCGGGAAGCTCAAAAAACCGCAAATTTCTTGCGCAGATTGTGAAGTTATGAGTGCATTTCAGACTTTGCCAATGCGCTCATCGTGATTTTTGAGGCATTATCTATAAGAAACAAATCATAGTTTTGATGTAGCAAAAGTTTGCAACGGGCCCATTGTGACTCTGTGAGGCCACTTAAGGGAGCTCTTGCATGTGTCGGAAATTTGCGATTTCAGGGCAGAATCCGACGAAAAATTTTGCGAGAAACACGATGGTGCCATTGGTTTTCTCTGAAACTCAAAAACAGCTTTCAAAGGTGAGGCCTTAATGGAAGGGGTGCCCCACGTTATCCCGAGAGTTCACCCCTGTATCAAGTCAACTTTGAGAGCTTTTTTTGAGCTTTCGAGTTAATCTTCGGAAAAACTAGTGGCACCACCATGCTTCCTGCAAAATTTCACGCCAGAGGAAGTGCCTAAAGCACAAATCCCCAACACATGCAATAGCTCCATTCAATCAGTCTCCCACATAGAGAGTGAATGGCAACTCTATCGGATTATCGCATATCGACGGTGAAACTACCAAACCACGTATCTCGTTTGCGGTGTTTAAAAATCTACGCTCGCATTTTATTTTTTTGAAGTAGACCAAATCAATATCATTCCTTGAAATTTTCACAGAATTTTTTCCGCACAAAGAGGAAAAATCACAGATATTTTCAAGACTGGACATTAAGTAATTTTTCATTTAAAAAATAAAGTATGACAGGAAGTCTGCGACGTCGCAAACCGAGATACGTGGTTTGGTAGTTTCACCGTCGATATGACGGAACAAGAGGCGGCGGAGCAGCGTGGCGATGGATCGCGTCGGCCACGAAAAGTCACCAGTCACCGGTCGCCAGTCACCAGTCAACAACCGAGAAGCGCGTCGCGCGCCGTGTAGCCCATTTGCATAATTCGTGCGGCGCGTTTCTCAAAACACACGCAGCTCCCCTGCCTGCACGGAGAGCGACGCAGTAATTGTTCAATCAAAGACCTCCGGATGAGCCCGTCGTCTCTTCGACGGCTGCCGTTCGCGCTTCAAATCGCTCGGTCACGCAACCTAATCCGCGCGCCTTCCGCGCGGTAACAGTACACACGATCACTGGTCATTTTTGCGAGTTGGCAACACGGTTTTTCCTCCATATGAATCCGTTGTGAATTATCGATTGGGATCGGATTGGTCCGTCGCAAAATTCTGCTCGACTGACATCAGCAGGGTGTCAGGGTGTCTACAAGTCTGGAATTTTCGGAAAGTTCGGAAATAGTACTGATTTTTTAAGGGCGGTCCGGAAGTACTGAAAGAGTGCGGATATTCCGCAAGGAGGTCCGGAATTTTTCTAATTTGTTTGTCATTTTTGTCTCAATTTGAGCAAAATTCAGATTTTTGACATTTTTGAAATTTTGTCAATAATTGGAGGTACTAAAAAAGAACTGAATTGTTCTGTTGAGGAGGTACTGATAATCTTGGGAATGTACTGAAAAAGTACTGTAAAATTACTGATTTTCGGTCAGCCTGTTTTAGTAGACACCCTGATCCGAAAATTACTCAATAATCTCTTAAAGGCTTGGTCAATACGGGAAGTAAAACACAAAACAACCCAAACCTTGGGTTGATCCTGGAGTTTCCATGTCTCTCCATTGTGTTCTGTGCTAAATTGACCGCAAACTGCACGAAAATCAACACAAAATTTGGGGCGGTTTGTGTTGTGTTTCACGTCCGATATTAACCGGGAGTAACACAGGAACACAAATATTGTTCTCTGTGTACACAAGGTGCGAAATGAAGCATAATTATACATCGATGGCTGAAGTGCACAAGGTGTCCGCTGTGAACACATTCATGATCGATCCTTTTCCATAGATCTACATGGGAGATCAATTCAATTATTGGACGAATTTCTATCAAACGGAACTAAGTGTATTATGACGCAAGCCTTGTTATGCACATATTCTTATTGGTCTCAGGGCTCATGCCTTAATGCACATAATTCCTTTTGATAGAAATACGTCAAATTCTCGTGGCGCAACTCGCCAGTGCTCTGACCAATGACCTTCGTTGAGTTTCGTGGCGCCTCACAAGAAGAGTCCACGGTATGTGGACACTTTTGGGCCAGTAGCGTGGCGTACTTTGCTACATATCGATAGATGTACCGTTCGAACTTACGGAAAAGGAGCGATAAACTGGGTGTCTGCAACGAACGCTCTAATAATCGATGTTGTACCAAAGCCTCAAAATATGAGGGAATATCAATAATCGACCATTCGCGCCTCGCCACTGTTTTGGACAACGCATCTTATGATTTTTACTAAACTGCAAAACCGATTAAAACCTAACTGCGCCACGCGAAACTAATCCATCTCCCCCTCTGCCCCCGTCGTCTCTCTTTTTACCTCCGGTGATCCAAAAAATAATCCGCTGCTTTCCACTCTAACACCGTTACGACCAGGAAGCGTCAATTATTGATTAAATTAAGACAAAGTCAGGGTCACAGCAACGCGCCACACATGTCGTTTTCAAATTCGTCCACTCTCGGTGCCAGATGGAAAGCGCCTCGAGCTCCAGACAAAAAAAATAACCCAATTTTAATCTCTTATCCAGTCGCGTCAAGCGACTTAGTCTGAATGTGACCGAGAACTCAGTGGTGCCATTTCGAGATCAATTACTGTTAAGAAAGGGAGGGGAATAATTTTTAAATTTTCCGAGAATACCCAATTTGGAATTTGGACCAATTGAGAATAAAATCGCTAAAAATTTAACAACTCAAACTTTCCTTACTTAATTATTTGAGTTTTTAAATTTATAGCAATTTTACTCCTAATTTGAGTGTATTTTCCTTGTTTTGTAGCTTTGTTTTCATTATTATTTTAACCTGAATTGAATTTCGCCCCCTGTGACTGATTTAGTGCCTCAATACTTAAGTGTTTCATGTAAACCGATTTTTTTTCTCCGTATGTGCACTATCTCATGCCGCAATCACACGCTGAATGTGGGAGCTGAATGTGACTTGAACGTGGAAGCAACGATTCTCAGCGACCATCGGATAATGTCGGATTTGTCTGAAATATTCGAATAGGTTTGATACACATTTGGATGAAAGTAACTAGAATTTGCGAAATTTCAGCTGTTGAGCGATGACTGTTGACTTTCACATTCAGCTGCCAAAGTCAGCGTATGATTGCGGCATTAGCAGCATCTCATGCTGCCGGCACTGCCGGCACTTACTAGGTTTTGAATTTCCACCCTTCATTCGACGTTGAGCAGGCATTCCGGGGATTATCAGCGGGTGTCATCGCCGAATGCAAGAAGGTGCTCGAAGATCGGTGGAAGGGGGGGGGGG